GGGACCACACCCTGCGAGGCATCCTTGCCTCAGGACTTCGACCAGTACTTTAATCTTGGGTCCAGAACGCTTAGACCTACACGGTTGTCTAAGCCCTGTTACTGACCGCCCCTAAAACGGGGCGGCGGAGCAAAGCTCCAAAAAATAAAATATTGACGCTCCTACCTACCCTACTTTCCCACCAATTACTGCCCTCCTACTGCGGAGCTTAACCAAGCGCCAGGTATGTCATTCATCACTGAACAGCCACTCATCCAGAGAAAGTTTGCCCTCCTGGCACTTCGCCAGTTGTCCTCCCAAGGACCAAGTTCCTGTGAACCATAACAAGCTTGCCTCCCTTAACCTTGGAGAGGAGACTTTCCTTCTCCAGTCACATTTGATACTGCGACGGATCTGCAGCTTAACCATGGCCTTGATTGATTTGTCCGACAAAAAGCGACCCTCAAAAACAGTCTTATTCTTGACCTCCCAAACCACCAGAAACAAGCATGCCCTGAGGGCCTGGGCTACATAGCCCCATCCTTTATCCAAGGCTAAGTCATCCGGGATGCCACCGAATAGAATCCAATGGTCATCCCAGGGGGAAACTGGACCGCTAATGCGATCCCAGTGGGGTTTCCACCACTCCCAAATTCTTCGAGACAGTGGGCACGACAGCCACAGATGCACTGTGGACTCAAATGGCCAGCGACACCTTACACACTGAATTTCAATCTACATTCCCCTCCCAACCAGCCAAACTGCCAAGGGGGTTGATAACAACGACAGTAACCACAGTAGGGCCGTGGCTCTGATCAGGGGCATCATTTTCAACTGTGTCCAGCACCTCGTAATTGCTCTGCTGATTGATGTTTCTTCCGAAGAATCAACTTGTGCCCATCTGTTTATGGCCACCGAAAGTGGAGTTCTTGCTGGAAGTTGGAGATCATATCCTCCTGCCGTCGTGAAGTCTGTAAGCCACGCTTCCTTGGGGAACCTCCTGGAGCCTTGCCAGGACCACATCTTGGGGTCCAGTCGCAACTCGCGGATTGGTGTCCCATTTTCCCAGAGCTTACATGTCCATTCTCCCTCATCATTGCATGTTTCCCGAATCCTTACCTGTATTAGATTACCTAATGGCCTGGATGCAGTGGAGGGGGGCTCTCGTCTGCACATATTAAGCTTTCCGAGCCTGGCAATCTACTCCAACGTTGAAACAGTCTGGTACCTTCCGAGTCTGTGGAGAGTAATTTCCATAGCGCTTCCGCCTGATCCTCTTGTGCTAGTGAGGATTGTGTGATAAACCATGTCCCCGGAGGGGGAACTCCTGCTGGGCTCAGCAGGTGTTTCCACTCCGGGGGGATGGCGGCCTTTTCCACTCCGGGGGGATGGCGGCCTTCAGGGAGGCCGCCCTTTCTTCCACATGTCCTAGCCTCTTTAGTTTCTGTTTCAACTCTTGCAGCGACGTCCATTGACCTGTTATTGCGTCCCAGAGGTCCGCCACCCTGAGAACGCCTTTCTCAGCCCATTGCCTCCCGAATGCGGATGGATCGCTTCCTGCTGAGAAAGGCTTCCCATCCTCTCCCCGAATGTGCGGATTATCAAACAGGGGTTGGGAGAGCACCTCGTCTCTGGTTGTAGGTTGTGTCCACGTGCGGGGGCCTACTTTTTTCCATGCATTCAGGACATCCTGCCAGAAAGGTGAAGAGGTTTTCCTGCGCAGGTAAGATTTCATCATGCAGCATGTCCACACATCTCTAACACGAGGTAAGTTCCAGTCGTGCGCCAGAATCTGTTCAGCCAAGAGAATCCAATGATCATCCGATTGAGAGGACACAGCCTTAATTATCCATTTGACCAGTAATGCGGCGTTCTGCCTACCTGAGTCTAACAGTCCCAAACCACCTTCCTCCCTGGAACAGCAAATCAGTTCCCAGGCTACTTTTAATATGAATCCTGTGTCTGTTTCTGCAAATGGTTTCCACAGGAATCTAGCAGCTGCGTGTCTCACCGACCTTACCAGTTTCTTCCCCAGGGCTCTGACTGTGCCTACAAACCACAGCAGGCAAAAAGCGTCACATGGTAACTAGGGCTCGGCCAAACAGTGAAAGGTGTTTGGCCGGACCCCACATAGCAAGCCTTTGGATTACTTTCTGTTGTAACAGACTGTTTTGAGCATCCGCGCACCGTCCCAGCGTGACCTGTACACCTAGGTACCTTTCTGAATCCCCACTGACAACCCGCTTCATTCCCCATTCTACCACAAGATTGTACCCTTCCGGCAATAGGTATATGGACTTAGTCCAATTAACTACAGCTTCCGATAGACTTGCGTACTCCGTTTGGCATGATTTCAGCGAACTAAGTGAGTCCTGGGTATTTTCTGAAACTGCCATCAGATCATCTGCAAGGGCTTTCACTCGACAGTCCAGGTGCTGCACCGGGAGCCCTTTGATCCCCGGGTGGGATCTGATATTCGAGACTAGTACTTCCAATTGTGTGACAAACAACAGGGGGGCCAACGGGCACCCCTGTCTCAGAGACCTGGTCAAGGCGAATGTCGTCGAGATATGTCAATTGACCGATACAGATGCTGTGGAGTATGCATACAGAACCATTACCCACATGCAGAAATTTGGACCAAATTGAAGTACCTTCAGTGTTGTCAAAACATAAGCCCAATTAACCCTCTCATATGCTTTTTCTAAGTCTAGTAGTAACACGGCCACATCCAAGTTCGTGTTGTGCACCCATTCCAAGGCTTCAATGACTGTAACTATGTTGTCGAATATTGACCGACCCTGTACGAAGGCGGCCTGATCTCTACCTACTAAGTCGGGTAGGTACCTACCTAATCTGTTCGCTAACAGTTTTGCTAGCTGCTTATATGATACATTGAGCAAGGAGATAGGTGTCCAGTTTCGGATTTCCGCCTTATCCCCCTTTTTGTACATAATGGAGATGATGTCGTGTGTCGTACCTTTTGACAGCTGCCCACCAGAGAGTACTTCATTGTAGATTCTTACCAGGTGAGGGAACAACGCTTTACCATGTAGCAAATAAAACTCCACAAGTAAACCATCTCTGCCCGGGGACTTTGCTTTGTCCATACTATTGGCCGTTGCTTCCAACTCTTCAATCGTCACTGGTCGGTCTAGGTCCAGCTTGCCGGTTGGGCCTAATCTGACTGTGAGGTTGTTCCGGTGGTCTAAGTTTTCAGCGAGATTGGTCTCCGGGGATTCTCCAATCCTGCGGGATGTGAAGATTTATCAGAGGATATCCTTAAAATATAACACCGCATACGCACACATGGCATCCGATGTTGAGGCTGTCTTTGCTTCTGGGATGAAAGGATGGTTCAGAGTCTTCATCGAATGTGCTGCTCTTTTGGGAAGTAACTTTTGGAATGACTCTTTAGTCATCCGATCGTAGACTGAGATTCCCTTAATTGTCAGCCTTTCGGCCCACTCCTCAGATTGAGCCTGCTGAATATCATCCCATTTGGATAACAACCTTATCCTTTCTGCGGCCCACACTGAGGCTGAGACCGGGTGAGCTTGCATCCTCTCTTCTACCCATTGCAGGTCTTTTAGGATGTCTGCCTCTTCTTTATTACGGTTTGCTGCCATGATGCGTGAGAAGACGTTCAGATGGTCCGATGCTATCGCTGTCCCTGCATCCCACCATTCACCTACTGTCTGGAAGTGATGCTGGACTCTGGGCCAAGCTTCGAAAAATTTCTCTACCCAGGCCGACAAGCCTGGGTCCCGGAGATTATGTACATTCAACCGAAAAAAACCACTACCTTTGTCTATCTGATCCAGAAGTTGAAACGTCATCTTAATCGGGTAGTGGTCTGACATCGAATGGCGCATGACTTCGACATTAGTAACTGCATCCCACCAAGCCGGGCTCAGAAGCCCGTAATCTAGTCTCCTTAGACAACCTGCAGAATTTCCCTCTGAGGCTGAAGAGCCCCAAGTGTGTCCCGGATTTAACTGGTGCATGATTCTGAAAGCATCGCACAACTCCAATTCCATCATGTATTCGGTGAATGCATGCAAGTCCGGTGACCCTGCGGCGGCATTTTGAATGTCATCCAGGGAAGTGTTCCAATCACCCGCTACCAGCAAATTATCTACATCGGGGGTAACAAAAATCAGATTCTGAAAAAACTTAGTACGGTCCGCTCTATCAACCGGGGCGTGAACTGTCAAAACTGCCCAGTCTGTACCAAAGGCCGAGAACTTAATCCAAGCCCATTTTCCCCATAAGTCCGTTGTGTGATCCAAGATTTTGATAGGAAGATCTCTGTGGAGTAGGATGCCAATCCCCCCCTGGTCCCTACCGCAGGAGACCAAAGTTGGGGCCCATCCCACCAGGTGCCCAACTCTTTGATCTTCTTTTCATCAAGTTTCGTTTCTTGAATGCAGATTATGTGGATTTTCTTATCGTGGAACCAAGATTTCAGTCGAGCTCTCTTCCCCTTCTTGGAAGTATCTCCCAACCCTCTGAGATTCCAGGACACAATCCTCAGTTTATCCATTCATGTTTGCGTTGTGGGCCCTAGATTGGATGGGGATGGCTCCCGTAGCTGTGCGCAGGTCATTTCCCAACTGCTGTCTGGAGGAAGAGCGAGATGTCGAGCCTGTGGTTGGGCCCCATTTCTGGGCCAGGATGTTCTTCAGATAGATGGACTGTAGCATTTTGTTCTTTGGGAGTTTCCCGTTTAGTTTGCTCAGGATACTCGCATCTGCCACGTGCTGTATACACAATTGTTGGAGGGAATCTGCATCCTCGTTGACGAACAGGGTGAGAGGGATCAGTCTGAGACCCTCCGTGAGGAGGGGTTCCAGCTTCTCCTGTGGAATCAGAGCGTCAAGCACTGGGACTAGAATCTTGCAGGTTTTGTCCTCCAGTTCCTGTTAAAGCCTTGGTAGTGCCATGTCTGGCACCAGCCTTACTAGGAAGCGCTCTCTGAATATGGATTTCACTGCAGTGAGGATAGCCTGCGGGGTGACTGGTTCCTTTGTTTGCTGGGTTAAGAACGTAACTTTCAATTCCATGGGCTGCCACGCAATTACGTGGACGGTTCCATTCACCATGGTGCAGATGAGCGGCATTAGCCACTTCTCGAGGATGGGCTGGCTTTTTGAGACCGTAATCATCCTTCTGCTACGGGAAGTTTTAACCCCCGTTTGTGGTATCCCGATTCTCGAACCTGAATGGGCAGAGGAGGAGGATTCAGTTCTACTATGGAGCGAGGCTTTTGATTCCTCTCCCGTTGGCCTTCCCTCCTTCGGAGGGGCCTCCAGCAGGAGGGGGCATGCCGATGAGATACTGGTTCGTACAACTCTAGCTGCCTTGAGAGGAGACTGTCCTCTTGTACTTCTCCCATGCACTTGTACCGCTGAGGAAGCCGCCTCCTCACCGGAATCCTGCCTGATGTTCAGGCTTCTACCTGCCCCTGCACAAGTGGCTGGCCTAATTGGCACTGGGCGGAGCACTCCAACAGGCGGTATCTCAGTTCCCGGGGGTGGGGGTTCCTCCCCACCTGCCCCTGTTGTTCTACCTGGAAAGAGTGCTGCTAACCCCAGCGCTTGGCTGTTGTGCAATGTGGAACCTTGCCTACCCTGCAGTCCAAGGTGGTCGTCCTCGTCTACCCGAAGGTAGGACCTGTGCAGTTCAGGGCACGGGGCTGGTCCGGGGGAGAAAATTGGGTTATTAACTGCTGTGTGCCTCTCCCCTCCATTCTCAACAGGGTCGAAGCAGCGATGTGGAGATCTAACCGGGGATGGACTCCTGGTACGCCTACCATTGCCTCTGGGTCCGTGGTTCGATAGTGCACCTTGGTATCTGGGAGAGCTTCTGTGTCTTGCGGCCCATGACTCTGCTCTCGATTGTGAACTGGAGGCGGACGATGATGCGTCATCATCTTCGTCCATCCTTTGGGATGCTCGATCCCGCCGGAAGTTACTGCGCCGACCATTTCGGTTATTCTTCTTCCTTGTACATTGGTCCTCGGTGTGAAAGTACCACCGGCAGCGCGTACAGTATGGTGTGGAAGATGAGGCTAATCTTACCTCCACCATATCCCCCTGTTCCATGCGTACCCACACCCGTTCGACAAATTTCGATCGACAGTCCGGATCCAAAGTGCACTTTATATTGAGCAGTCTCGGGTTCGAGGCGAATCTGTCCGGGGGGTCCATACTCAACACCGGGCCAATGACCCGTACTAGCGACGATTTGAGATAGAAATACGCATCGAGCGGTACTTGGATGACCAACACCCAGAATGTGTTTTCCATCTCAGTTTTCCGTAGTTCTCTCCACTCGGCTCTCGGTACCCAAGGTTTCATCTCGAACACGTACCGTTTCCCTTTCAGCTGAACTTCCCCTGATCCCTCATTAGCCATCCATTCCGCCACCACACTGTCTCTTGCAACATAAGAGATTACATTGGCTCCCTCGAATTTCACCCTCCCTTTACCCACCTGGGGATTGAAAACCCCATCCTTTCTCCACCCGTTCTCATAGGCCCTAACGAGGTCCTCTTTTACCTTCCGAGGAAGGTTCCTCGCTTCACCTCTGAAAATAATGAACACCGTGCGTTCTTTAAGCCATTGGATTTTGATCCCATCGTAACGGGCATCGACCGTAAGTACTGCTTCATTCCCTTCTACGGACACATCCTCGAATGGAATGTCATCCGGGCAAAGGCCCTCGTCATAGCACATGGTGAGGAGCAACCTGACTCGTTCATCAAGCCCATCTTCCTGCCTCTCCTGGCTTCCATCCTGACCATCCATGACTATGTCTAATTCTAGCTGTTGCTGCCCTTCCATATTCAATCTCCCTCTTCCGAGGGTAGCGGGATTGTCTATCCACTCCTCCTCTCAGGGTTTTTGCCCACTCAGTGAATTCTTCTACTGCGAGAGTTACCGAGCCCCTGCTGTCTTTTGCTTTTCCTGGGATTCTACCTCACGGCCACGAGATGAGCCTGCATTGAGGTTTCCTGATCCCAGATCCCACCCTGCGACGATAGCGGCCACTCCCGTTTATGAAAGCCACACCCTTAGTGTGTCGAACTGCTCGGCAACCCTATCCACCTCTTTCCCAAACGATTGAGGGGGAGGACTGGTCGATCATCGCTTCAGCCACCGTGGCTAGGTCGAGGGGAGCGCCTACAGAGATTGCCCGCTTTGAGACTGAAGGTAACTATTCCTGCCTGAACACCGGACGCAATGCCCTATTTTTCCATTCATACATGCGTACACTCCTACGGTGGGTAATACTCTGTTCTATTCCATCCATACAGCACAATCACCAAGTAATTCCGTTAACGCATTGATATTCGGTCTATGTACCCCTAACGTTCCGGTACCGTACAATCGGAACCTCAAGCAGTTCGTGTCTAGAGCAAATCATCCATCGCAGCAGTTACCTGCTCCTTCTCCCAGCGCCAAGAGAGCAAATTGATCACGCGATTGTCCACCAACCCATGGTGAGGTAGCGTAGGGTCAGAGGGAGTGAAAGATTACCGGAACTCTTATGTCCATTCCTCCAACTGTCTGGTGATGCCGGCACCTTTGGCAGCGCTACCCCCCTGTAAAAGCTTGGAAGTATCACAGCTGAGGGAAAAAAAAAAAAGAAAAAAAAAAAGAACGCATCAGCAGTGGCGGGGTTTGATCGCCGTTAGGTCCACTCATGGAATCGTGATCCACAACTCCAAAAAGCAAAAAGGAAACCCAAAAAAAAAAAAAGGAGCGGGAAAACAAACGTGAAAACACTCAGGGCTCAATCAACAATCAACTCGGTAATCGCTCACTACTCTCAACATGCACAAAAGAATAAAAAAATATGGCAATGTATCTTTCCATGTTCTAGTGGAGGATTCAGTCTCAAAGATAAATGGCCTCGCTCACTACTCTCAATATGGCAATGTATCTTTCCATGTTCATAACTGGGTTCATAGGCCGGGTACTCAGGTAGGTTTGTTATCTTACCCGTGTTAGGGCTGTTAAGCCGATTGGTGCTGTTTCTGTAATATTTTGAAGCGAAGCTGGGTAAGGCTCCCAGTCAGTTGCATGTAGGATTATAGTTAGAGAGCTAGTTCGTCCCTTTGTGTTCTTTGGTAGTTTTGGTTTGTCTATTTTCTCTTTCTTTAGGAATAGCAAGATTGAAGCCAGGAGCTTGGGACACTGGACCCGTTTTCCAGTATGCCTCTTTGAGGTTTGTTCTCCCTTTCCGGGTTGAAATGTGGAGGGATTCCCGGCCTCCTTTTGCTGTTATAATGAAACCTTGCTATTT